CATTTGATTACATTAGTCGAAGAGTTTGTGGTGAATGTTCCTGACTAGCTGCCTTCCCTCTAGTCTATCAGTTTAATCAGTCCGTGATTTGCATACCGTTACTATGAAATCTTTCTCAGCACTTTTCAGCTATAGGTGTGTTATGTTCTTGACTAGCTGCCTTCCCTCTAGTCTGTCAGTTCAAAACTAGAGACAGTTAGTACAGATAAGAATTTTTGTAGCTCTGCACAAATACCCAAGAGAAAATAAACAATAATTACTTTAAAACCTCTGGACCATTTAAGAAACTTCTATTTATCCACAAAGTAAATTAATATTACAATTCTCATATTCTTAAAAATGAGAAAATACTACAAGCCATCAGTGAAATATAAATGTGTAACTCAGTTTTCTTTCAACCTAAATAATGTTTTTAATTTCTTCTAACCACAGAATGTTTTATTCTTTCAATTTTACTTGTCTTACCTCCTGTTTAAACTTGAAAGGATTAGAGATTTTATTTAGCAGGAACGGAAGTGATGAGTAGGCCCGAAGGGTGTAATGTATCGTATTCATTTTTTCATACTGGGACACTACCAGAGTGTAGCGAGTGGGTCCTGCTGGTGGGATAACTAGCTTACACAGGCAATGGGGACTGTTGATTCTAACTCCATCTATGAAGGGAGCGGGGTCATCTGAAAATAAGCAAATCTAGCATTAACCATAATACTTAGAAGTTTATATTTAAAATAAATTAACATCGCAACATTACTAGATACATTTCCATTTCTCTCTCTCCTTTTTATTGCACCTCTGCTTCTGAGAACATAATGAAATCAACATTTGTAGTACATTATGTGAATTTTTAAAAATATGTCTGTTAGTCAACTACTTTACGTATTTTGCTTTACTTACAATCAGACCCCAGACTAAAATGTGTCATACACGGGACTAAAATGTGTCATACACGGGACCAAAAATGTGTCATACACTGGACTAAAATGTGTCATACACTGGACTAAAATGTGTCATACACGGGACTAAAATGTGTCATACACTGGACTAAAATGTGTCAAACACTGGGCTAAAATGTGTCATACACGGGTTAAGTGTGGATATAGAAAGAACTGAAGGTTTTCTCTGCAATCTGTTTAATCATAAAAATGTAAATCTTAATAAACAAAATCTTGTTTCTACAACATACAGGGTAAAACAAAAAACCTGAGTAACTAAGTGATCAGTTGCAAGTTTTTATCAAATCTCTTCAGTTCCCGATATCCAGATAGAATAAACCAAGGAAGCCGTCAAAACACAAACTTGAATGACTAGCATAATTTCAACAGAAGTTATCTTGGATGTTTACATGTAGAACTGAAGGCTTTATCTATTCAGATACACATGCTGCCACCTACATGGGTAGTACACCTTGTTTCCTTCATTCTTATACACCAAGACAGTGATGTATTCCTTGTTGTCTGCAAAATCATCCTGTATGAAAAACAGAAGTATATTAACTTGAAGTGTCGATAATGTACGAATACAATTCTAAACATAAAACAATTCAGATAAAAAATATATAAAATAAATAACAATACTTGTTTCAGTTATTAGTTTCCAAATAACAATATTATTCTGTTTATATTTTAGTGAATACAAAGTTTTATAAAGGTTTACTTGGATTTCTGTCCAAATAAAATTATTATGTTTACATTTTAGTGAATATAAACAGTTCTCTTCAGCCTCTCCTTAATATCTGTTATTTGAGCAAAATATTTCGATACAAAATATTTACAAAGTTTAACTGAGTTACCAGATTAGTTTCTATATACAATATAGTATCTGGTTTATTTACAAAGTTTAACTGAGTTACCAGATTAGTTTCTATATACAATATAGTATCTGGTTTATTTACAAAGTTTAACTGAGTTAACAGATTAGTTTCTATATACAATATAGTATCAGGTTTATTTACAAAGTTTAACTGAGTTTCTAGAGTAGTTTTTATCGTAAAGTGAGTTCAACGTATCATATGTACAGCAGGTGAATACTTGCCACTAAAGTACACAAATTCAATGGATTAGTATGCAAAGACCTTATTTATCAGGTCATACATGTAACGGTCTGATAAAAACGTACATAAAACTCCATAAAAACTGGGGGAAACTAATGTTGTTTTGGTACCTTCTGGGAATCTGATAATTTTATGAAACTCCTTATAACAAAGTTGGAATAGCTATAAAGATTGATTCTTGGTTTAGAATAAAAGCAGGAAAAGCAATTTCACGATAAATGTTTCAGTCATAAAACAACTCCGACATTATGGAAGTATACATTATAATAAATTAGGGGAATATATGTGAAAAACTCCTTATATATAAACAACAACTATTTATGTTTGGGTAGATTTTGAATTATCAAACCCAATAATCATTCATACCCTTTCCTTAGTTATCTCTGTGTCCAGGACTAATTTATATAATACCCCTAATGGATTAGATCAGCTAAACTTCTAACTTACTCGATCGGTAATGTGTCTTGTCAACAGGATCCACACAGCACATCCAACACCTTTAGTCTCGAGGCTATACTGTGGATTTTCTCCTATGTTGTACAAGTCTTTAACTGGGCCTGCTCCCGCTTTCCAAGTTCTAGTATATAATGTTAGAATTTTAATAGGGTTAACACTTTGTGTTTAAATTGAGGGTGATAAATTCCAAATATTACTTTCTCTCTCTCACTTAAATCCGGATCTATATTACGG